CCGCCAGAGTTCTATTGGAATGGCATCCATAGTTTGCATAAACGTTGGCGTGAAGTGATAGAGGCCAATGGTGATTACATTCATGATTGAGATGATTTTGCTTTTAAATAAACTGGGTTGTAATAATTGTTCATGAAATTCCGAGAACTTTCTTTCCAATCAGATACTTGAATATGAGCTCATTGCATTTGAGTCATCAGTAATATAACTGCAATATTTCAAAGAAATCAACTCACCAGGCACATCCATAATACATAATGCTCAGTGATAAAGAAGTTGAAGTACTGGTTGAGAAACAGCATAGCAGGACCAATGAACACTGTATCAAGTTTTGTCATTTCTGACTTTGTCATGTGTGCAACCTAAGAGATTCATCAGAAAGATTCCCATTTAACTATTTTTTAATAATACAACTGTAGGCTAAATAATGGAATCAATTATGGTAACATACGACAAGCTTGCTGGTGATCTTGACAGATACCATTCCAAAAGCCATGATATAGAGGACTGGATGATTTTCATAAACTTTCTGTAGACTCTTCTGCCACATGGTGTATGCAGGTACGATCACAAGAAGTATGGGAATCAATGGGGACAGGATGCTTGTATCCTTGGCACAAAGAAAACATGCAACAGCCAAAACTCTATTATAATACACAATGGAGTCAAAACTGGATAAAATTCCAATTAATATTCCCTTCCAAGAAACTGCCCCATCTCATTAATGTTCTGCATGCATGATCCCTATTGTTTCCCTTGGGAAGAGGGACTGGCTTCTTCATTTCACATTGCCTGTAATCTTGTGACGTGACAGCAAGTTCATATCAGAATAAGAAACATTCTTCCACATGTCTTTTTTACTACCTAGCAAATTATGTTTGTGGCAACAACAAATGCAGCATAAGATAGGCATGTGGGCCTTCATAGTCCACAACTGCTTGAGCAGGCATGAGTTTCATGGAATGGAATATTTTTCATGAAGCTATGAACAATTAACTAAAATAAGTACTTCCTTCTTAGAGCATGCAAGTTTTGTTGAGCTGCAATTAGGCATAACAGGATGACATGCATAATCTCTTTCTGTACTCATCTGATCTTGCTACTTGTCCGAGAGAACAATTTGAGAATTGAGAATCTGTGGGTTAAACTTAGAGGAAACTTTTTGGCAAAGTGTTATAGTGTGTTATGTAAAGTAGGGCTGTACTGTTGGCCACATTTGGTCAGTGGGCCAATGGTCGATGTTTTCTTCATAACCATCGGCCAGTACTGGTGCCGGTGCCAATTGTGGCTGTTAGAAGAAATCACCTATAAATTCAAATAGGCCTAACTGGAAGCCATGTGATACTCATCAGTAGGCCTCCTTGAAACTATAGAGATCACTTTTGGTCCTGTCCAGTCTGTCTGCCTCTCTATGAAGCTGTCAGTTCCAACCCGTTGCTGCAGTTGAGAGCATTTATTGACACATCCCTTGCAAAAGCATAACATAAGGAGATGCAATGATTCCCCATTCTTTTCCACTACTTTCCTCTGCTGGTTCCTATAATATGGCTGTAACATAAACTGATCAATATTTTTGCCTGGGAGAGGCTGGCAGGAGTGGCCTAAGTGACGTAGCAGGGCCGGCGCCTAGCCGCGTGAACACCCTCACAAAATTGTTTTGTTCGCTTTGCCCATCCTTTGGGCACCAGCATTGGCACAGACACCATAGGCCAATGACCAATGGTGCAACACTGGTGGCTGATACCGGTGTTAGCTGATACATCGGTACAGCCCTAATATAAAGATATATGTTTTTTGTTAATTATTGAATGAGTGCTGTTTGCAATTAAGATTATGAAGTTATCAGCTTGATTCTCTTTTTTCAGCTAGTGAGAGTTTGAAATGGAAGTGGTATTTAGAATATTCCCAAAAAAAGAGTGATAATCATGAAAATCAGCAACTGGCATCAAAATGCTACAGGGTCATTCCATCCCAATTCACCCAATGAAAAAAAAGAACTTGCTCATCCACTGACTCAGATTCTTCTACTGTTTCCTCTGTTTCATGAGACTTTGCAACAGTCCTCAAAACAGCCAGAGGGAGTGCCACTGCTCACAAAATTTTGCACACATGTATGTAATGATGTAAAGTCAAAAACAAGTGGTCATCCTGTCAGATATCAGTCTGACAGAAGAGATGCCATGCAACCAACTGTCCTTAGACAAAAGAATCATCCTAGTGAGACATTACTATTACAGTAACAGCTACATTGGTAAGACACTATGGTCATTTTGGTATGAGATGGGCAGCCATAAAGGACTTTACAGGGCCAAAGCATGCTGAAATTTTACTAGGGAATTTACTGGTTCCATTTCTGATGCACCCCTTTTTGGCTGTCTTACAATCCCTGTGGAAATGGTTGGTGAGGGAGCTCAAGTAGTGGCTGGTATTTCACATGAAAATCTTCACATGGAATGCAGCATTAATCAAGCTGCCAAACAAATAGAACTTCCTCAATCAACAGTGAGGAATGTGATGCAAAAAAACACTGAAAGTGTTTCCATGTAGGACTATGGGTGTCTAGGACATGCAATCTTACAACACACAACCAAAACTGGATGTTGCACTCTGGTTTCTGGCAAAAGTGCAGCTTAAGGACACCTAGCTTGACAAAATCCTATGGACTGATGAGGCACAGTTCTCACTGTTTGGTCAACCCAAAACACAGAACTGCTTCATTGAGAATGACATCAATCCACATTTTGCAATCATAGAATCAATGCATCTCATAAAGGTAATAATTTGGTGTGGATTCTCAAGCAGCTTCATCATTGCACCACATTTCTTTGAGGAACCAACAGATGTTGGATTTTGAACTGTGACTGTGACTGGTGAGCATAATTGATCAATGCTAGAAGTCATCCCTACACTTCAGGACCAGATTTTTTGCAAGAGACAATCTCCATGCAAGATGGAGATCTCCTCCAAACAAAGTATGGACTATGAAAACACTTGTAGGTGTTTTTGGTGATAATAAAATCAGCTGCCATTTACCAAACACCTAGCAGCCTCACTCACTCAACCTCACCAAAGCAGACATTTAGCTTTGGCAGCTAAAGTCTCGTGTATAATGCAGCACCTACCACCATAATGGACCTCAAATATGTCATGTGACCATGTTGGATGCTGGATAATTTTTGGTCAGCCATTTACCAAAGCATCTGCAGAAATAAGCAACCACAGATGTGGAGTAAATCACATTTAGTAAATGTCGTGCCCCCTGGTAGCCATTTCCAATTATCCTACATTCCTCTTCACAATGGTCTTATTTATGTGTACACCAAATATTACAGCTCTATTATGCAGTTTCCATATTAAAACTGTTTGAACATACCAATAAACTTTATGCTAACCTTGTATTAATATATTTACACCAACATATGATGATGTGTGACTCGTGTCAAAATTCCAGATGTTCCCTTTGTGATCAATTATTCTAAAGCATGGCAACTCCCTCAAGTCCAATAACTTTCCTTAGCTGGTAACATGTGCAACACACGTTGAATCAGCTACAGGCATATGTTACATATATGATCATATTTGAAATTTTCATGTGGGGAACCTCTGTAGCATTCTGCTTCCTGCTTGGGGAAGTTTGTTTACTTTCATATTCTTAAAATTTCAGATATTTTTTTTGCCTGCATCAAAATGCAATTTCTCAATTTTAGATTGCTAAAACATGAAAAAACCTCATGAAATCATGTTGGCCAATTTCTAACTCATTCCAGAAATGAAAAATCAATCAGACACCATTTTAAGACACTCTGTCAAAAAAGTTGCTACTAGTTTTGGACTACACCTCATGCATAAAAAAGTTCTCTAAGTTTGAGCCAGAGTGACAAGATAAAATCCCCATGGTCTAATCAGCAGAAGAGAAACTGACAAGAGAAAAGTAATCTAATGTAAGGGAATCACAAGAACATCTACATTAGCATCTACAGGCACAACTAGACCTAAGCAAAGCTTAGATGAAATTTGGCATTCCACTTTATTCCTCCTTAAAATATATTTGCTTCAAATGAGAAAAGAAATGATAGGTTCAGCCAAAGAATTTTCTTCTAGTTGAATTTCACAGGCAGAAAGTGATGTAGATAGCCTCCAATTACAAAGTGCAATGTATATAAAAGAATCAACAGCAGCAAACTAGAAGAGATGCATTGATTCAGTGATTTGAAGTGGTCTGTACTTAAGCCAGAGATGATGAAAAATATTTGAATCAGTGATGGTGTCAAAGGTCCCCTATTTCTGGTTCTCACTAAAGCAATAAGAGTCAGAATTAGGGAAAATGCTAAAGTCCATTGCTAAAGACTTTACTTTCAATATTTATGAATCCAACTAAGGGCACCACGAAATTGTGAGATAATGCACATCATGTTTTGGTACTGGTTCCTAAGGAAGAAATTAACTGCATTCTCCAGCAGTTAACCAATGATAATGACTTGTTTGTTACTGGGATTATGGCATCATGTATGATGAATGGATGTGCATCATGGAGCTAACATGGTTAGTGAGAGACAATAAAGAATAAGATGCAAACTACAGAGAACAAGGCAAAAATTAGGCATGCAAGACTCAATGGAGAGAAGCTCTGAGTACCCAAAGAGCACTCACAGCGACAGAGGAGCCATTCTTTCCAACACCACCCGTTCTGATGAGACACAATGTACCAAGCAGCAAGCTGACATAGACCAAGACGGTAAAGTAGCATGGCACAAACAGCAGTTTTGTTAGGCACGGCAGCTACAAGAGACACCATCAACAAAGATCCACATATCAGAACAAGGCCAGTCCTGGACTGACCAGGCAGTTTTGATTCACACATTAACATCATTCATCATTTGTGCAGCTCACAAACCAAATTACAATACCAGCATTTAGAAATGTGCCCAGAAATTTCCTGCATGTTAGAGAACTTGCGACAGGCCGTAGGCATACAGGATGAGGCATGCTATTTGGAGAAGGGGGATTTGTTCATGTATGAGCCAGAACCCAACAAGAAGTAAGCAGAGGACATGATTTACATCCTTGATTTGAAGGACTTACAGCAACAGTGGAGCCATTTTTCCCTACCCCACCTGCGAGAATAACACGCAGGTACCCCAGGATGCATATGACTGAGACGAGGCCAGTCACAATGAAGATTGCAAGGGTGAAATCAGGTATGCCTGGGATTGGAAACTGAAATGAATAAAAATCCTTAATAAAACAAAGATCAATTTCCATCTGATGTTGCTATTGTTTCCTGCGAGAGACAAGTCTCTACAATTTATTTTTTATTGGGAAATGGTTCATCATATGTAACAGCTCATACCCTTCCAGTTTCAAGCAGTATGTGCTGGATGTGTACATACAGCAAAATCAGCTTTTTTGAATGATCGACTTTGGTAATTGTCACCAAGAGTTGCATCTTCTACACATTTCTATGAGAGACCTTGAATTTCACAGCATGAATTTCTAAGAACATCTAGCAAGCAGACATTAGTGATATCTGGCATGATACAACATAGCTCGGCACAACCATGAACATGGCATGCTGTGCTTTTCATGAAGGAACTCACAGCTACTGATGATCCATTCTTTCCTATACCCCCAGAGAAAATGAGTTTGAAGTTGTTGTAAATGAAAAGGGATCCAGAACAAATCCCCACTATTGTAGGCAATAGCTTCAGCTCCACTCCTACATGAGGAACCTGGAAATGAATGTCCTATTGATTCTGGAACCTGAACCAAGGTCAGGTGAAGGGATAGTGAGAGATAGAATAGTCACAGTCATTCAGTTTCTATAGAGATTTGCATTTCTATAATATCAAAGAATACCAAATGAATCATGTGAATGGTACTCAAAGATATGATAGAAATGAACATTTTCCTGTAGTGCAATATCCACAGATTTAGTGAAAATTAAGGCGGTCAGGAACAGTTGGCTTGGGCAGATACTTCTCAACAGTTTGGAAAGTGAAAGTTCACTTTGCTGATCAAGGTATTAGCTCATATATCTGCCATCCTGTTGATATTGAGGTTGGCCTACCCCAGGGTTCTCTTCTTGGTTCTATCCTGGTTTTTATTGGGTTGGAAAGAAAGTCTTGCAACACTTTCTAAAACTATTTATAAAAATTTTCAAAGGAATGATGGGCTGGGCTTTGCATTTGTATATGCTGGAATGTTCTCGAAGCTTCTGCCCTCGGGGTATATAAGGCAGCTTCTGCCATTAGTTGGCAGCCATAGCTCCGATCGAACAAGCAACTCTTCGCCCCATCGTCTACTACGAGTTCCTCCAAGGACACTCTGCGAGAGCCGCTGTGGACAACATCTGCGCTGCATTCAAGGGCAACATTGTCCACTATTCCACAGTGTCTTGATGGTTGAAATGCTTCGAATCTGGCGACACGACCTTCGGAGATCGACCATGCTCAGGACGTCCATCTACAGTCGATCACGAAGCCCTGCGGAACGCCCTCAACGTGAAGCTGAACGCCACTACTCGTGAATCGGCGACTACACTTGGAGTCACCCATATGGCCATCGGCAACCATCTGAACGACCTCGGCTATCGGAAGGTTTACTCGACATGGGTCCCTCATCAGCTCAGCGACTCTGACAAAGCAAGCCGTGTCAGTGTCTGCGAATCACTGCTCCTTCGTCCGCACAGAAAGGACCTTCTGAAGGAAATCGTTACTGGAGATGAGATCTGGGTCCTTCGGCTCAGTGACTCTGACAAAGCAAGCCATGTCGGTGTCTGCGAATCACTGCTCCTTCGTCCGCACAGAAAGGACCTTCTGAAGGAAATCGTTACTGGAGATGAAAGCTGGGTCCTCTATGTCGACCATACTCGCAAGAGTCAGTGGCTTCCACGAGAATTGCAGCCACATGAACCGAAACCAGGGTTCCACGAGAAGAAGGTTCTTCTCTGCTGTTGGTGGGATTCAGAAGGAATGTTGTACCATGAGCTCCTGCCAACTGGTACCACCGTGACTGCCGTCGTCTATGCTGCTCAACTTCAGAAGTTGGCTGGCGTCATTCAAATAGAGCGTCCCAAACGCGACAAAGTTCTCCTTCTGTATGACAACGCTCGTCCACATGTTGCAAAAATGACTCGCCAGATAATTTCGGAAGTGGGCTGGGAAGTTTTACCCCATCCAGCATATTTTCCAGACTTGGCCCCTTCTGACTATCACTTGTTCCGGGCCCTCAAGAATCACCTGCAGGACAAGGCCTTCGATGATCAAGCACAGCTCGAAAATGATGTCGGCCGTTTCTTCGCTTTGCAATCGCCAGAGTTCTGGGCAAAGGGCATCGAGCAGTTACCCGTGCGTTGGGAACATGTCATAGACAACAATGGTCATTACATTGTAGACTGAAATTGCATTTCAATAAAGTTATAACATTTTGAAAATACCCGTGCGTTGGGAACATGTCATAGACAACAATTGTCATTACATTGTAGACTGAAATTGCATTTCAATAAAGTTATAACATTTTGAAAATTTGCACAGAGTGTTGCAAGACTTTCTTTCCAACCCAATACAAGGGACATGTTCATGTGTGCATTCGTAATATAGAATTTTTCAACAGTCAAGTTTTGCCCTTAAGGCAAACTTGCCTCCTTAAATCAATGTTTAATATCCTCTGGACTGAACCTGGAATTTTTGGGGGGGCCCATTCGGTTTCTTGTCCAGCTGAGGTCGATCCCAGGATCCATCGCTGTTGGTGCGATTCAGCTCTGGGTATACAGTGGAAACATACCATGAAAATGGTTGGCAATTAAGCCTCTTCCTCAGGGCCACCTGATCCTCTATGTTACCATAATCATATGTTTGTGCCTCCGGACGAAGCTGAAAGAACCTCTCCTGAAATAGATAGAGAAAAGGTGGAAACATGATGACATTGGTAAAGAATAGGTCAGGGGTCTTCAGTTCATTAGTCTGATAGACCAGTGGTGCACAAACTGGGGGATGCATCCCCCAGAGGGTGTGAAGGGTACTGTGGGGGGGCACGAACTTTGGCCTTTACCTTTCTTATCAGAACGAGGGAGCATTAGGGTTCAAAATTAAATAAAATGGGAAAAAATGAACAAAAGCACTACATACCTAGGAAATTCCAAGGAAAAACCTATCAAATATTAAAAGAAATTATTTAAAATATAAGATTTATCAGTATAAGAACAGTCATACTTCGTGTTATGTGAGGATTTAATTTTAATACAATATACCTGATTCCTACCCACAATGTTGTGGGCAAATCACTAATTAAATTATTAAAGTATTAAATTATCATGTAACCACAAATAATAAAGAGCAAGGGTACATGCCTGTTTTTACTAATAACTACAAAGTAAGGCTGTCATGATAGGTTGACATATCAATATTCTCTTCAATTTACCTGAAATTACTGTCAGTTTCTGATGAAACAGAACTGGTAGAGGTTGGGGATAGGGGGGTGCAATTTGGATGAAAAGGGGGTGCGACCTGAATAGTTTATGCACTGCTGTAATAGACCACTCACATGAATGGTTGGGTACTGTACCATTACAAGCAAGCCATAAAATAGGCTTACAAAGTTGCCAGTGAGCATTGCTTTCTCTTCCATCAAGACTTTGCAATGTAAAGACACAAAGCAAATAGACATAATTGCATCCCTGACTTGTATTAGCGTTCATATTGAATTGAATGCATTATGGGTTCATCAGAAGATAGAAAGTGATGTCTAATCACCAAATACAGGTAATATACCCAATACACTAAATGTCTGAAGCCCAAGTGAAGGACATGAAAGCATGATTCAGCCATGGATTGAGCAAGTTATGTGAATAACAGATTTTTTTAAAATATGGATTGAAAATTTTGCAGGTAGCACAATCTTAATTTATTCGACCTTAACATCTTGTCACAAGCAGACAAGATGTCATTAATTTACTCAGACCCATAAAAAATAAAAGCCATAGGATTTGGTGCATGTATATGACACCAGGTCTTAGGAAGTTAAGGGTAGAGACTTCTAAGAGAAAAATAAAATTTGGTTACTTTACTAGAAGAGAAAAAGCAAAAAGAAAAGAAAAAGGAAGCAATTCAGGCCATTGGAGATTGCTTTGCAGGCTTTACTCTGTTAACTGAAGACCCCTGGCATCAAAGACTATAGTTTCCTTCCACCTTGTACTCGTCCATCCAGACGTGAGCAACACGGAGAGAGTTTTTTAGCATCGTATCAGTTCCATCGGGAGATCCATAAGGTCTCCGTCCTCGAAACACATGGCCAACACGGGAACAAGGAACAATTACAAGTCTTCCTTGTGGCAAACACATCCAAATTTTGAAAGACAATTCCAGATTTTCTCCTCCCCAAATGTCCATTCCAGGATCATATCCTCCTAGTTGGAAGAATGTGTCCTTCTGGATGGCAAACAATCCTCCTGCCATTGTGGGTGACCTATCAATCATAAAACCAACAAATTTTTTGCAAAGATTCCTTCAAATTTTGCAGAGAAAAACACAAAGAAAGACTCTTTACTATCGTCACAGTTTTTATCCTTGGGGATAAAAAAATTGGGGCTGCATACAATTTCTCATCTTAGTGGTACTGTTTTTGTTAAACTGGGTTTATTGTTACACTGGATATTCAAATTTTGATCCTATAAAGAAGCATTATCTGCTCTAGTAAGTAATTTAGTAAAGATGAAACGTGACAAGACATGACATTCTCCAACACTTATTCACTTCCTTTCACTCAATAAAAGAAAATAAGACGAAGTCTACCACACATAAATGAAGCCAAAATAATTATTTGCTGCCTCTTTCTGCATTCAACGGGAGATCATACCACATTCATGAGAAAATAAAAGGAGAACCAACTCACGCAATTGGTCGGACAAAATCTTCAGGCTTTCGTAATAGAGATCTAGGGATGTTGTCCCATTTGTAATGCAGACCCCAATTGAATCCTCCTTTGACCATGGGTGAAGAGACATACTTGAAAGTATCTGGTTGAATGATATCAATGATGGGGATGGTGACAGTATCTCCATGAGAGGATGCAATGGGTTCCACAAGAGGAGGGAGCCAATCCACATTCACTTCACAGTGGCTGTCCAGGAACACTATCACCTGTGAGAGAGGGTTAAACTCATCAATATATTGCATCTTAATTCAATGCAAAATAATTACCATTTTATGAATGGTACACTTAGGGAATATAACATATTAATAAAATATACCTGTCCAGAAGCATTCTCAGCCCCAAGCATTCGAGCTCTCATGAGACCTAGTCGTTGTGGACTGCGAATCAACCTCACTTTCCCATCCCAATGGGACTTCATCTCTTCCCTCAGATCTACCTCTTCATGAGCAAAGTCAAATAGAAAAAAGAATTGTCTCAGTATGGTATTTCCAAAAATTCCACACTTAAGGCCTCTGCAAGAAGTTAGGCAATATATTTATGAAGAAAGGAAAAAGGATAGCTGCAATTTTGAAAGATGTCACAATACACATGAAAATGGGGGAAAAAGGAGCCATGAACTCCAGTAAAATATGAATATGACATCAAGAAATGCAAAACGGTTTATCTGTCATTGACTGCCATCAGAGAAATCCAACATATAAGGTTCATATCCTATATAGATGACTAAGACCCAACATTGGGAAGGAGGGGATTTTGCAGAAAGATGGGACCAGTTTTTAAATACAGGGTGGCAAAAAAAGAACATCCTTTCAAACAGAATTTCTTCAAGATTCGTTAACCTACAAATTTTAAAATGTCATGAGGAGAATTCCTAAGTGTGATGCCATGCAATTTGCAAAAATTGGTTGATTTGAGACAAAAGTTACAGTTAAGGCACATGGGATGTAATGTCAGTTTGGTGAATACAACTGATACCAGTGAGGCAGTATGGCATGCCCACAGGAATCAGAGTTCCTCACAATCAGCTAAATTATGGGCTGAAAGTTTTGCGCAAAGTTTAAAAGCCTCTTCTGTAATCAATTGAAAATTTTTGCACCAAAAGTGAAAAGCAAACATAACCCACAAGAATGAGCTGAATTTAAATTATCAGCTGTTTGCAAATTTGCCAGTCAGGTTGCAGCTGTAGCTCTGAATCTGCTGGAAGTAGCCATAACAAGGGAAGTACCACATCTCCTCTGGGGGTTTTGCCATCATCACCCAATTGAAGCAATTTTGCATGTGCTGTAACTTTTAATACACTCAAATCAACTGATTTACAAAAACCCACGAGTACACAGAAAGCTTCCCTGGTATTCTGATAAAAACTTCAGATGTATGGGTTTCCTGGTTGCAGATATCCTCTTTTGAAAAATGATCCTTTTTTTGAGTGAATCTACACATACATATACCTAACAGGACTTGTTCCATATTTCAGCCCCATCAAGTCAGCAGATGGATTACTTGAATATGCCAGGTGGCACAAAAAAAATGCATTCTGTTTGATGCTTGATAAAACCTGCAGTGGATCATTGAGATTTGTGATTTTTTGCATCATATTGAAAACCCTATACAATTTTTTCCTGAAAGCTGCATGTGGGCATCCTGCATGAAGAAGCAGAATGTTGTCTTTAACTAGTTCCCTCAGGATTAACAATCAAATATAAACTGTAAACACCATCCAATATTCAGAATTGATGGTATCCAAAGCTTTAACTAACAATGCTACAAAATTATACATTCTGTTCCTTTTCCTTTTCATGATATCATGCATTGTTTTTGCACAGATCAGTTTGATGGATGTATTTTGCAAGAGAATAGAGATTTCCTGGAGATGATAATCACTATTGGATGGAGAGGAGCAGAGTTAGAACAAGCCTATAGCATTTTTAAATTTTGTATTATTGCTTCACATAAGAATTACTTCAGGGATTTTATTACTGTTATTGCTATACAGTATAGCAAAACTATCACATCATCACTTGTCTTTGTCTATGTATTGCATGTTATATTGGCCTAGGAGAAATGCAATTTTAGGCCCACAACATATCCTTTAGGAGAAGTGTGATACTTTACTGGGAGAGGCTTTTTTTTACAGACTCATGTGGGTATTAACTTTAATATCTGGTAACTATAAACACACAAAGAGAAAATATTAATACCAGTAGGGGCATACATTTGTACATTTCATTTACTGGCAAGCCTAAAATGACAAGCTATAGCAAGAAGTGGTCTTTCAAGTCTTTCCACCTCGAGAAAATCAACAAAGACAGACACTGGAATGATGACCATAAGATAGTATGAGGGAATACCATCATCACTGCAGTCATCCACAAGGATGATTCCCTGTAGGATGTCTGATGAAGTGCGTCTGATGACAGTGGTCACTGTTCGCACGAGAACTGATTTAGCTTCATTGTAGAAACAAATTACGACTGTTGTTGCTGGCAATGCCAAAAACCTCTTCTGTGTCTTGCACCTGCATAGGATTTCAATTTAGGAAGGTTAGGCATAGGCAGGTATTTCTATAAATGAAACACAAAGAAATTAATGAACAGGAAAGATGGAACCCACAACACATGACGAGTGTCAGGAATGTCACGAAATTCCCCAATCCTCTCACTGATAAGGGCATTGAAAGCATACTTCTTGTAACCTTCTTGCCGGAACTCAAAATCTCTTTCGTTGTGAATGAAGCCAGGGTCAGAAGTGTTGACAATGAATGGGGAATTCTGGTTTTGTGGACCAAGTTCTAGTTTTGGCCTCTCGTACCTTGCCACCAAGCGGAGTCGACTACCAGAGTTCTTCTGCTTTTCCTTGAAACTTACTGAGTCAAAGTATAGGATGATCAATAATGTCCATGTGGCAGAGGCAAAAAACACCCCACAGAAAAAGTCTTTGTACTTACAATGAACCATTGAAGATTCATGCTAAGCAGCATCGCATCTGGGCACAGAATTGTATAAGGTGATGAAAGAAACCATTCCATGCATTTACAATGATTGAACAGTGTTGGTATGCGATTTTCACAAGACTGTTTCAAAGCTGAGAATAGCAGAAAATGTCTATAAATGCTTCTTCCATATAGGGGCATAGCCAGAACAAGCATGCCAACCAAAGTAGATGGTTTTTTGCCTTCAAGTATTCATTTAGGTGCAAAACTATGCTGAATTGAAAGAAGAAAAGAAATCCCCTTGCTGAGGTCATTGACCTACTTCTTCTTTTCACATATGGCATTGACCTGCTTACAGTATACAAGAACTCAGCTCAATACAAATAGCTCAATTTCTGCTTTGTAAAAGTAGGTTGACAAATGTTCACACTTTTAGCTCTCAAATTCTTGATGTCAGCAATAACTACTTCATCCCATCACTCATAGCCATAATAAGTGAGCTAATCAAAGTAAGTAATGAATCATATAATGCAAATGAAGAAAGGCATTTTGAGCGAAAGCCTCAGTATATTTCAAAAAATAAGAGCAGCAAAAGAAGCCAGTGCAGGATGGAGACATGAACATTCTGTATAAACGGAATATCAATGATTGCCTTGGCAATATCACTCTTAAATAGTACCATGCAATGTATTATTAGCATTCATCTGGGAATTCCCTCATTGTGACCTTGTTGTCACTAGAGAGTGAGAATGATTCAGCATTGGATAGCAAGAAGGTCCTAAGCTGCCTCTTTGAAATCCCCAAGTGTCCACACAGGTCATCCAGATGAAGAGACTTAGTTGATACCTTGCCAAATACAGCACAAATGTTCTCTCTCAATTCTTTCATACTTGCATCATGCTGCAAAAGATGGAATATAAACAGCAAGGACAACAACAAACTATGATTAGGGAGTCTACAGAAGTCATGCAACATGCATATAAATGTACAATATAAAAAATATTTTAAATATAAATGAAAAAGTGATGCAATGCAGAACATTCCAATTCTGTATTTTTGTGAAATAAAAATATACACACTCCACAAAACCACACATCATTGATAGACTCAAATTTTCTGTTGTTACAATGCTCAGAGACATAACACACAAGACACTGGACAATGTTATTGAAAACTCTGCTGTATGTTGCAAAGAGATTATCCAAAAGAATGGTGAACAGTTTGAGCATGTTTCTCAACAACAAAAAAACTAATTTAGTTCATCTATCAATGACATGTAATTTAATTTTCTATCATGAAAAATAATGAAAATATAGATAAATGAAATGTGAAGCATTTTTTGCTGCCACCCTGTATATTGATGAACTATGCTGTCATATATGTATGAAAGTCTTCTGCTTATTTTTTTCCATTGAAATAACCTGTAGCAATGGATTTCCTATTGCAATTGGAAACAGCCTCAACACTACTGGGTAGGACTACTAGGGAGACTGAGCACTTACCATCATGATGGACTTCCTAGATTCATGGTGAATCCCAAAAGATGGACCCCCTGCCAGAGAGTAAGCGTTTCCATTACTCAAACTCAAAAAATAAAATAAAAAAGTGAAACACAAAGCAAACCTCCTAGGGAAATGATTCTGAACTAAAATGTGGTCTACAAATCCTTGGAGATCCACAAAATGCCATCACTTGCTACCCTATTTCTATTGTCTATGAATCACATCTCTGACATTTGTTGTTAATGCATGTGTGCCCTTTTTCATAAAGCCAAATGCCACATTGTCACACCTGATACTTGTGTTTGTACTCACACTATGACTCCAGTTTTCAAATGATACACCACTATCCCAAGCAGTGGCATAGGCAGAAAATTGGCAAGGTGGCCAGGCCACCTTAAGGCCAGGTAGAAACTCTAACTCTATGCTTAGCTCTGCTACCCAGAATTCACCTTTTCAAAGAAATCATGGTCTGGGATCTTGGGTCTGTGGACGGACATCAGACTTTCCTTGAAAGGGCATAGCTAAAATTGGAATCCCCAAGGAAGAGTGAAATATATCAGTCAGTGTCACTGACAAGGAAGACCCCTTTCCCTACACCACTGATCCGAAGCCCTTTGGGAAAGGGGTGGAAAAGGGAACCATCCAAGTAGTTATCTTAGTTAATTGTTGAGATTCAAACAGTCTAGAGACACTGAAGTCCTTACTATTATTTCTAAATTCTAAGCTTTAAGATGCCATAGCTCCCAAGGAAAAAAAAAAAGAAAAAAAAAAGAAATCATCTGAAGCAGTCAGCATTTCTTGAAGGGAGATGTAATTGTAAGATGTAAAGATTGTAAGATGTAAAGGGATAATGTTCCATCTCCCCTAGGAGATGGAACATAATTCTGTAATTAAAATTCATTTCCAGAATAGTCACAATTAAAAAAATTTGCAAAACCATTAGTTTCCCATTCTGGAATTGGCTCATGCATTTTGGCAATAAACTGATCATCAGAAATATGTCTGTAAACTCACCCCTACTCTTACTAAGATGGTGAGAGGATGGCTGGTACTCCTTGCTGGTAGGTTTCATATTCCATCGAGAGACAGTTCCTCCTTTGCCATAGTTGCTGTTTCTCCATTCTTCAGGTCCACATGTAATCCCTGGCATGAAACCATACTGCTTTGTACCAGTTCTCCCAGTTCCTTGCATGGCACCTCTGATTCCTCTGTGGTGACTTCTTGCTTGCATCCTGACTCTTCCTCCCCAACAAGAAGGCTGGGGATTTGCACTTTCCTGAGAATGAGTATGATGTAAAGGATCAGATGTAAAGACAAGTGAATGTCTATTCTTATCTCTTTGTTCCTTTCTTCCCCTTGAAGGAGGGTTAACAGGACCAGTATTTCTATGGCTGAAGGCAGGAGCTGCAACTCTACATCCTCTTGAACCTCGATTGGCACTACTTTTTCCCAGCATTCCTCTCTTTCCCCACAGACCAGATATAACACCATCACCACCGGACCAGGACTGTGAATCAAAATTCTGTGCAATTGAATAAGCACTTCTTTGTGATGGGTCATGGTCTTCAGCCTCCCAGTTTCTCCTTGACTGAAAATATCTTCCTCTGTCACTCCTGCCCTTGTAGTAATATGGGAGAGGATGGTAAAAGTCCTTCCCATTTGGAGAAAGGTCACATTCTGAAAGACTGGAAACATGACTTGAATATTCCCAGTTAGCTCTCTCTCTTTCTCTATGACTAGGTACATCTACTGAACCTCCTCCATAGGTTGTACACTCCACACAGGAGTCACAAAATTCTCCATGGTAGTAACTTACTCCTGATGCATACAAGCATTCTTTACAACCCCCATCATCACAATAAGCATCATAGCAGTCAGAGCATCCACAGCTTCTGCAATTCCAACAATCACAGGACATCAAGTCTCCTTGGCCCCCTTGAGCCCCAGGAACTTGCAAGTTGCACTCATCACATTCCTTGAAGTTTTGTTCAGAAGACCTTGATCCAGTCTCTATGTGGCCACTGGCACTTTTCTTTAATGGTTCATTGGACTTTAACAGCACATCCTTGGAATGAGTCTGGCAAGCCTGGACAGGAGGACCTACAGATATTTCAGAGTTCCCTTTCATGGTGTCTGCCTTTAAAGGAATCTTCAATGGCTTTTTGGCACCTTTCTGCTTCTGGTTTGTTGAACCAGACCCTGGTTCATTTGCCTTCATTTTCATTCCTTTAGTTTGACATACATCACTTTGTTCCTTTTCTGATATTGGTATCATTGATAGTAATTCCATTTGATTGGATAACTTGATTGAAGCAGCATCAGCTTCATAATTGTCATGATAACGAGACTCACTGCTTTGAGTTTCTTTGATTAAAGGGCCACTATCATCTTTTGCTTCATCTAATCCATCCCCATATGCTCCCAGTCTCTCTTCATCACTCTCACTTCCACCACCTCCAGACACTTCATGCAACCAGTGTTTATCAGCCTGACAGAAAGATATATCTGAATGCTCCAACTCAGCATTGTCTAATTTCTCACAATCTGGAATGGAAATGGATTTATCCCTCTTTTTACCAAATATTGAAATCATGGTGCAACTTTGAGCAACTTTTGTTAGGTCACTGCTTTCTCTATTCAACTGAACTTGAGGAAAACACTACTCAAAAACTGAAATATGGAGCATATTACAGCTCTGCAACATTGGGTGAATGCAAAAACAAAGTCTTCAAGTAATGTAATGAGTTCCAGGTTGTTGCAGCTCTTCAGCTCTGCACATATAGGATTAATAAATCAGTAAACTGCACTGGCAAAACTTCCATGTAAGCAATGCCTTCAGACTTTCATCATGAGTACTGTACTTGCAATACAAAATATGGAAATAGTTAAGGCCATTTAGTGACTTTTTATGTTGTAAGTTTCCATTTTTGGGATCATGATATTCTGCAACTTCAGATTAGAATTCTGCTTTTCAGGAAATAGGCACAATGACTGGCTAGCAGCCGATTGTCATGGACTGATTCATAGCATTGAATAGCTTTGTGTGGCCTTGTGACTCCTTGTGTTGGAGTTGGGAGAAGCAAAATTTGCCAGCTGATGGAGATAGATAGGATATTCCTAAACAAATCCAAGGCTGTCCAAGCACAATTGTGATTCAGGTTAACCCTTTCAGGACCAAGGGACCTATTTGTCCCATATTTTCAAAATCCTCCCAAATTTGAATGAATTAGTCTAGGGCGATGCTTTTTGCAAATAAGGAATCAGTATGTCATGGACTTTCAAAATTATGGCAGGTTTTGTGAATATATGAATTTGTGCAAAATTTGTGCACATTTGTGCAAAAGCAAAATTATCTTTTCCAAACGGGTCTGGAAATGTGAATTTTGATTTTTTTGTTTTGAAAAACTGATGCAGCCGAAAAAAAATTGTCTGTGGGTTTGCCTTCGTATGTCCTTACTGTAACATATTTTCTCATTTCGACACCCATTTGTTTATTATTTTTCGAAAAAAATGTATTTTTTTTCTTGTGGGACATATTTGTCCCATGCTATATCTCGAGAACTATGGGAGATATAGCCTCCAAACAAAGTTTTTTGGAATCTACATGTCATTTTCACCCTAAACACGTCATTAAAGTTAAGGTCGCTGTCCCACAATGCTTATGGTCTTGAAAGGGTTAAAGAACAAATTCTAGGAAAGGCTTGTAAAGTTGCAAATTTTGAATAATTCCATAAAGTTACCCACATGAAAATTTCACATAAGATCATATATGTAATGATCATAGCCAGTCTGAAATATTTTGGGCATATATGCATGTACTGGGTGTTGCAAAACCTTTTACTGGGGGGTCCCAGAAAAAATTGAAACCAGCACAAATAAAATCACTGCATCAAATTGAAAGTAATTCATTTCCAGATCCAATAACATCAATAGTTTATTAAGAGATCCATCTCTTTGAAAGCCTAGTTTCAAAGAGACCTGGAGTCCATGACAGATCTCTTTGAAAACCTGCTCTAATCATACCCATAGCATTTGCAGACCATATGTCAGGCGAATGGTGGACACACAAACTATTTATATGTAATTGGATCCAGAATTATTTACTTTCAATTTGATGCAGTAATTTTATTTTGTGCTGTTTTCAGCTTTTTTTGGGACCCCCTAGCAAAAAAGGTTTTGCAACACCCTGTATAGTGCAATTCAGATATGAGTATGTAATAAATATATGGGGTTTGCAACCAGTCACATATATAAGAATGAAAATATATGGCCCCATACATTTTCATATATTGGTTCATACATTGACATCATATATGCCATGTCATATTCTTTTCATATGTGAAATTAAACATGTCTCTCTGTGTGATGAGTATACTTGTAACATACCTGTTTCTTCAAAGGGTCCATAATAAATCAAAGACTGTATAACCATTCATATGTCAGTCACCAAACTTTATTTACTCTTCTTGCAATCAACTCATTTAATTGTTCAAAGACCAAAGTCAATTACTCCAGGAACTCATGTTTCATGGTGTTCAACATATGCACACTTGTTACAGAAGGTGAAAGTTTCAATATTATATACTTTTACTTCACCTGTAAAAGCATGAAAATGTCCTGTTGATAATTCATATAGTAGTGTACTATATGAATTATTGAATTATTGTCTGCAGGCATGTAAAGTTCTGGACTTTTTTGGGCCACCCAGTCTGGTGCCCTGTCTCCCTGGCTCTTAAGCCAAAATACACCACTGATCTCATGCTATTTTTACAAAATACCATAAGACTTGCCTGTGGATATTTGCCACAGCTCAGACATGATGTTATTAGCCCATAACTCTTGATATTGTAAAGCAGATAAAATACAGGGATTAAAAAAAAAAAACATTGTACCATTTTCTATTGGAGAAACACAGCTTCATACATGCAACAAAAAAGATACATTGGCTATGCAATCAACATTGGACAGTTATAAGATGTTGGGATGCATGTCAGTTTTTTTCCCAGCACTCCTGCCAAGTTGTGCCATGCCCATTTACATTTAGAGGTGGATCATTCCATCTTGATGATCTCAGAATTCATTGAAATTTGGAAAAATGTCAGATTATTTTCAGAATAGCCAAAAGACAAAAAACATAGGTCTGTAATTCAAGTGGGTTTTAATTTGGTCATGGGGATGAAAAATGGCTCCCAACCCCAGATGCTAACTTTCTAATTACACAGTTATAATAAAGTCACCAACCTTATTTGATTGGCCATAACTTTTAAGGGACTTTTGGATGCAGATGATAATTAACAGAGGTTCATGAAGTGGCTTTTTCACATACTGAAAGGTGGTGCTGCATGCCGATAAAGGGCACTGTAGTTAACTGTAGCACACCCTAGCTACATTTCACACCACTTTTTAGGTAGGGAAAAAAAACCTCATTGGCCCAGGAGTCTCTGCACCAAATATTAGTTGCATCTGAAAGCCCTTTCAAAAGATATGGTCAAAGAAAATTGGACAATAACTTGTAACCATCTGACTTTGGTCATGTTTGTTGTTCAGAAATTGCTCAATTTGAAGATAAATACATAAATTGTTAGGCTTGTCTAAGAGTACCCTTTCTACCCTCTTTTTCTCCCTTTTTCCCAATTCATCCCATAGAGCTATGGAAGACCTTTCACAGATGGGTATCATCAAGGAGGATCCTTGCTGTTACAACCAGGAACCAACTGCTACAGGAGTAGTAAAATAAACTCAGTCTAACCAATGAATGGTTAAATACAGCATTTTTTTAAAACAAAGATTCTGAAGAACAATCTCGTTCAGGTCCCATCAAGACAAAGTTCAGGCTTGTATTATGCATGAGTATGGTATGACAGCAACAACAAATGGTTTGCCTACATGCATTTATGATAAGCCAGCCTTATCCAGGAATAAATATGTCAGAACAATTTTGTTTCAATTTGTAACAGCAGTATTGAACAAACCAGCACATCAGAATGTCACTTGATAATGATATGCTCACCTTTTGAAACTAAGTTACTAGCCTTCAGGAGAGCAGAAGCAGGGACAAAATACTGACTCTCTGTTGAGTCATCTCCCAAGGGGATGGAGGAAAGCCTGAGAGGGGAATCAAACTGAACCCCAACAAGGCCCTCTTTATCTTCAAGATCCCCTATCCACTGAATGGTTCCAGTGTAGCAGACTTCATCCTCATCAATATAAACCACCCTATCATTGACACACAAGGGGATACCACAATCCTCTTTTTCTTGGGACGTCATTATCTGAAAACATGGAAAGTTCCCAGACTCTTTCAAAATGGTATGGGTTATACTAGGCTTAGGAATGCTGTGCATCAGAGAAACCAGGCAGCAGCATCTTTGGTAACTCCACAATATTCAATCTAGGTCACATTATTTCTCACACAGAATAAAATACTCTTGTTATATCATGTATAGAAAAGAAGGAAGTTACAGAGTTTCTGGATCAACTCTTAGCCCCATTCATATATGCTTCATCTACACTCTCTACATCTCTAGGGTCTACTGGCAAGCTCTGAAACAATAGTTCTCTTGTTCATGAAGAAATGTTGCTCCATCTGCTTCACTCATGGATATACCCTTTTGCAATTAATGAGAGCTAGAACAATACCATTCCAACAAAAACAAAAAAACAATCTGAGGGGTGGAGAGGTAGCAGACAGGACAATCCCTCCCATCTTTCCTCGATCACCCTATCAAACCTCTGAAATAAGTAATCTTGTATTATATCCTAAATCAAGGGAACCTAAGAGACCTTCCAACTGTAAAGAAATCATCATGATCAGTGAGTGGAATTTTGAGCAATAAACAAGGAAAGAGAGAACAATGTCCACTCAAGCTCAGGGAGGGCATTCAGTTTTTTCTCAGAATACATTATATATTTCTCCAGCAGCAATGACAACATCAAGGAAATGTAAATCCAGAAACAGTAGCAGAGTGTACACCATTGAAAGGGTGCTGATCCTATTGTCATAAATACATGCAGAACTGTAAAAGAAAGTATCGTGGTTCAATTCTTGAGACTTGGGCCTCAGTGTACTTAATGTTCCATCTTATGGCTACTTACCATTAGCATAAGAGGCATAAGATTTTCAACCACAATAGGAAAAGCATTGGTGTATTACATCAAATTTCAGTTCAAATTTCTGGCCAGATGATGGAAATATCATATTTGACTACTTTTGATAATCTTCCTTTATGGGCAGCTTCGCAATGTAAGTTGTGCATTGCACACAAGCCCTTACAGCATGTGTCTCAGACTGTTTGTATGAAAAGAAATGGTCTGATAGTGAGCTGGATTCATTTTCTGATAGATCTCTGATATAGTTTGCAACTTCTTTCAACTTATGCAAGATCACAGCTGCAATTGGGGTATGGAGTTGGCCTTCGGCAGAGCTCAAAGTTCATACCTTTGGGCCCCAGAGAGGCACATTCTCCATTCCTACAGCTGGGAGAGAGGGGTGAACCATAATATTGGTCCACCTCCTTGACCAAACTCATCTAACATTCCAAGAGGTAGCTATATCTCTTTGAGTAAAAGTTTTACGGCAGCTTCCATCGCAGAAAGATCAGCACTCTGATCACGGTGACGAAGGGGTGTTGCATAATCCTCATCAGCGTGCGTTGAAAAATTCAGTTTTTCATTGCAGTTGCAAGACTAGCCAGACTAGGACTAGCCTAAGCCAATTAAAGCCAATTATTATAAAACACCGTCTCGTAGAGCCGCAAGCCAACAATATGTTAATGCAGGCTATTGCAAACACCATCATGCTCCCGATTCTAAAATTAGGCCTTAAGTCCAGAAGGAAAGATAGGTTGGGCGACTAACGCGAAGATTCTCATGGAACCATTCCGACATGGTACGAGTGCTCTCTACTCCCCTCCTCACACGTGGAGCATGGAGGGTGCCATATTCGTTACTCGCTTACCTTCCTCAAAATATTACAGTGGTACCTCGCATAACGAACGCAATTCGTTCCAGCGGTGCGTTCGTTATGCGAGGTGTTCGTTATGCGAAACACGATTTCCCATAGACGTCTATGGGAAATCATGTAATCCGTTCCACGTCGCCGCGAAAAATCAAGGAAATTAGGAAAAAATGTTTCACTTTCACTCGCGAACACCTCGCATAACGAACGCACCGCTGGAACGAATTGCGTTCGTTATGCGAGGTACCACTGTACACTGTTTCCAGATTGAATTCGTACCCCCTATAGGAGCGCTTCCAGCGATTGCAGGTAGTGACATCTTACACATGGGTGGTTTTTATCTATTGCCTGTTGAGGCGAAACCTCTGGAAATGTGTGCTTCCTTCATTCACCACTGTAGGGGGACGGTACGAATTCAATCCGGAAGCAGTGTAAGCCTATCCTTCTGTCGAGATTACGATCTCGTACTCGTACGATATAGCGGTTTACACTCGAGTAAGACAATTTTTTTTCTCGACTCTTGATGTTCTTCGTGCACGAACGTCCGAGTCGAATGAAAAAAATACCACCATAAAAAGAAACTTTTAGGAAATATTCCTCTACCTTTCCTCTCTCAAATATGACCAGAGAGAAAGATTGAACTGATTTTTAATCGAAGAAGGAAACTGAAATTTACTTGCAGCTCCAGGAGGAAATGGCCGCCTGTGATTCAGATGAGTCTTGCCTTAAGATTTTATGCAACTGGAAACATGCAGCTTGACGATGGAGACAGATGTGGGGTTTCACAACCATCTGTTAGTAGAGTCATCAGGAAAGTATCTTTCGTATTGGAGAACAAGTTGCCAGAGCTGGTGTCATTTCCAAAGGCAGGAGAGGTATCAGCTTCCCAATCAGCCTTTTTCAGAATTTCTAGTTTCCCTAAAGTTATTGGGTGTATTGATGGCACCCAAGTTCGATTCCAACGTCCAAGAGAGAAAGAACCAGAGTTCATCAATCGGAAGGGTTACCACTCAGTGAACGTAATGGCAATGTGTGATGTCAACTGCTGCTTCACCTATATCAGTGCAAGATGGCCCGGGAGGGACTCATGATGCATGTGTTTTCAGGTAGGGGTTGTCATATCACAGTAATCATTTTTCAAGTCCAGATATGAGTTCCTTGGCTGCTGATCCCACATTGGAAATTTTCTTCTGTATCTCATTGACACTTCTCAAAAAGCCACGACCCCCCCTCGCATTCTTGATTTGCAGCCACGAATTATGTTCGTCCTTCGCTGTAATTTTTGCACTAAGAGAAGTTCTGAAACTATCTTTCTGCTGAAGATATTCTTCCATAAGAATTGTGAGTTCTTCTGCTGTGAAATTTGGTTGACGTTTCCGATCCATCTTTAACATGGAGTCGCTCTGCTGGATTTAGAACACCGCCTTGGAAGAAGAGGATGAGACTCGTCGCTAAGGAGGTTCCTCCACAGTGGAAATAATGACGTCAGACATGACGTATTGGTCACGTGACCAACATAAGTATCTTGCTTTATCTAAGGAAATCGCACAACTCAGCCGATTGCTAAGATGGAAATAGAATTCCAACTTGAACTGAATACTTTACTAAGACAGACACTTAAGATTTTAGAAAGATTCATTATCTTAAGATAAGAAATTAATAGAATACGGCCCCGTATCCTCGGCGTTCCATCTTAACAATGCTGAGGCAAAAACGACCCTCCGTATCGAGTTCTGTGGCAAGACCATCGCCCACGAACCCCTGCCGAAGTATCTTGGCGTCGTCCTCGATCGGAGCCTCACCCACAAACAACACTTGGTGCAGGTGAGGAACAAGATGAAGACGTGCAACAACATCGTCCACAAGCTAGCTGGGACCAGCTGGGGCTACAGCGCGCGAACTCTTCGGACGGCGTCACTCGCCCTCGTGTACTCAACAGGGGAATGCTGCCGTCCAGTATGGGGACGCAGCGTCCACACCAGTCACGTCGACACGCAGCTCGACATCGCCATGCGTACAGTTACAGGTGCGTCGTTGAAGTCAACGCGAACGTACTGGCTCCCGGTGCTCGCACACATCCCTCGGCCACAAGTACGACGCCAAGGACAACCTACCTCTAGGAAACGCAAGCAAATAAGGACATGTGGGCTGAAGACTAGCAGGACTTATATGGGAACAATTACACACAATGCACCATGTAACATAGGCCTCGGTCGACACCAGAAATTCTGGAAACCAGGCACCAGCTGTGATCGCATGGCCTCATTTTCCATTCTTTCCCATGCTCATATTGTTGTGCAAGCCTAATGAGCCAATTTTATACCTTTTCTTGCATTCCTTCAAATGATAAGTTAATGTGATTCGGAGCAAAAATAATCCTTAAAACTAGGTCATTGTAATGCTCCAGGCATCGTCGTGCCGTAGGATCTTAAACAGAGATGCACAATATACGGCCCACGAGGCCCTTGCTCGTGACCCGCCATGACTAGTGGCGTCGTAAGTGTTACTATGGTTCCAGCTCTGTTGGCCACAGCTAAGATCAGCCAGACTGCGGCCCGCGGTGAGTCAAAATTGCAAATGGCCCTCCCAGCCTTTTGAGTTGTGTACCCCTGATCTAAGAACATTGAAGTCAAACAAGAAGCCAGCTGGCTGAAAGTAGCTTCTCTTCTTGGCTTCTGCATAAAAACCACATTTAAGGAGGGATCCTGCCCTTCCTGAAAATTGATCTAGGGCGAAGGTGTTTCGTAGATGTCGCATAGCGTCTCCCCGTCCCTCTTTCCCCTCAGGGCTCTCTCCGACGACGAAAAGCATGTCTTAAAAACCAGTGGCGGCTCGTGTTATACAGCAGTAGCATAGAGTAGAGAGTGTAACTAGAGGCTACACTCTGCTCGAATCCCATTCATTGACAGGGTCGCATTATAGATGTCGCCTTCGATCCTCCACCTAGGGGGCACACATCAACAACTCTTCCATGGTCGAGCAGCAGACTCAACGAGACACGCGTATTACGTTAAGGGATCCCTTTGAGTCGAATCCCCGAATGAGTCGTTTCCCCATTCCGCTGCCAAGAAGCAAGCCGCTTGGAAGTGTTGTTGATAACAAGCCACCAGATGTCTCTGTAATATTTCGACCCTCCCCTATCCCTCGGAGTGTC